TGGTCCCGTTGCAGCCCTTCGTGGCCCCCTCGCTGCCCTTCGTGGCCCCGTTGCAGCCCTTCGTGGCCCCCTCGTTGCTCTTCGTGGTCCCGTTGCAACCCTTCGTGGCCCACTCGCTACCCTTCGTGGCCCCGTTGCAGCCCTTCGAGGCCGTCCTCGCTGCCCTTCGTGGCCCCGTTGCAGCCCATCGTGGGCCTCTCGCCGCCCTTCGTGGCCCCATATATCTTCGTGGTCCCCGCTCGCTCGCGCCCGTCGTGACCCCATATGCATGCGCTTCGTGGCCCCGCTGTCGCCCTTCGTGGCCCCCGCGCTGCTCTTCGTGGCCCCGTTGCTGGGTTCAGTGGCCCCGCCATTGCTGTCTGCGGCCCAATATGCGAATACCCTTCGTGGCCCCCGCTCGCTCGCGCCCGTCATGGCCCCATGTGCATGCCTTTCGCTGTCCTGCTGTCGCCCTTTGTGGCCCCCTGGCTGTCCTGCGTGGCCCACTTTGCTGCCCTCAGTGGCCCCGTCGTTGTCCTCTGTGGCCCCGCCTTATCTGCCCTCCGTGGCCCCCGTTCGTTCGCGCCCGTCGTGGCCCCATACGCGTGCCCTTCGTGGCCCCGCCGTCGCCCTTTGCGACCCCCTTCCTGCCCTTCGTGGCCCCGCTGTCGCTTTCGCTCTCGCTCTCGCTTTCACGCGTCGTCGTCGTCGTCGCCACCGTCGTGATCGGTCCCGTGTCCGTCCCTCTTGGGGTCGGGCTGCCGCTGGTCAGCGCTGCTGCTGGCCAGAACGGCGGTCTGCGGCCGCTCCGCCGCGCCTGGGCCCGGCCTGCAGGAAAAAAATAACTACCACCCAAACAGGGCACGATCGAAAACGGAGCGGGCGGGCATCGAGGGTTTGGGAAATGCACGTTGAATGAAAGCGAAGGGTCTTAACATGCCTCTTGTTGCTGTTGTTAATGAGTTCTCACATCTAAGAAGTAAATACTGTTGTTGATCCCCCTGCTCCCCTTCGGAACTCGCATTGTTCTAAAACGAAAAAGGCGAAACAGGCCACGAAACTGCGCTGTTGGGCCCCGAACAGCAACACCAACACCAACACCAACACAAGCACCAACACCACCACCACCAACAACAACCAACAACAACACCAGCAACAGCAACAACACCACCACCAACAACAACGGCTTCCTCCTGATAGTTCATCACAATTGATTCCAACATCGCGCTCTCACGCGGGATGTCCTCACAACTTATGCATGAATCGAATTTTCGCGTGGGACTTCCTCGCAATGCACTCAAAGGCCGCGCCCTCGGCACCCGGAAATCACGCTCTCGCTCTGGCCTTCCTCACGATTTACTTGGGAATCGCGCTATCGCTCGAGCTCTGCTCGCGATTCGTGCAATGCTCACGCTTCAACAACACGCCTTCTCAACCTGGCCGCTTGGGCCCGCCTTCCGACCCGCCCGTTAGGGTCTGCCCGCCCGATGGGCCCGTCTGGTTCTGCCACGTGGTTTTGCTCCCAGCCCCCCTCCTGCTAATCCCGCGCTCCATCCTTCGCGCTCCCCCTTCCATCCTTCCTCTCTTCCCCTGCTTCAGGGGCTGCGCCAATTACACGTGGCAGGTAAGGAAGATATGTCCCCAAGCGGGTACGATCGAAGACGAAAGGATGGGTACCGAGGGCTTGGGATATACGTATTGAATGGCACGCGAGCGGGTAAGAGCGAACGATCTTAGAATGATTGTTGATGTTGTTGTTGTTGCTGCTGCTGCTGCTGCTGCTTCTTTGTCTGCTTGTTTCCCCCGTTGGGCCCGCAGCGCAGGCCAGCGAGGCGCCAGCGCCCCCCAGCAGTTCCTCGGGCTGACAGGCGGTGGCTCGTGTGCCCGCCAGCGCACACCCCCCCGTACCCCAACGCTGGGGCAGAGCGCCCCTATCGGGTCTCCCGTCCAGCTGTTCTCACCTTCTCGTTCCCAAGGTGTCCCATCTCAGTCGCTCGTTCCTCAGGATGCTCCCTCGTACCATCCCTCTGTTTGCCTCCCCCGGCTTCCCCCCTTCTCTCGTGCTGCGCGTTCTTGTGGCGCTTTGCGCTCGCGCGCCCGCCCCGCGCTCGGCGTAGTTTCGCCACACGCACACACAAAACACACACAACCACACAACAACAGACACAGACACAGACACAGACACAGACACAAGCACAGGCACAGGCACAGGCACAGGCACAGGCACAGGCACAGACGCAGACTCGGACACGGGCACGGACACGGGCACAGACACAGACACAGACACAGACACACACACAGACACAGACACAGACACAGACACAGACACACTCACTCACACTCACACTCACACTCACACTCACACTCACACTCACACTCACACTCACTCACTCACACACACACGCACGCACGCGGCTCCCATCAAGCGTCGTCCCAAATTTCCGCTGCAAAGCCAAGATCTCGTCCCCGACTTCCCACCTCCCGCGGCTCGTATCAGCCTTTCCAAAGCGGGTGGAGCGGCTGTTCACCGAGCAAGCCGACATGAAACCGCAGGTCTTCCTGCGCGTTCAATCAGAGGAGTTAAGCATGCAGCATCAAAGCCAAGACACTTGCTCGCACCTCCCTGTGCACATGCCGAGGCCACACAGGGGAGGGAAAACGGCGGAGGATGGAGCGAGGAATGATGAGGGTGGAGGAAGAGTAACAGCACGCAAGAGGTGCCGGGGTGCGCTGGGCATCCCCTCTCCTCCCCTCGACTCTACTCCCACTCCGCTGCGGCTCCACACCGCTCCACATAACTCCACTCTACTCCTGTCCACCCCACTCCCATGCCCTCGCCGCCCTCCGCTTCACCCGCCTCCACCTCATTCCACTCCACTTCAGTCTGGTCCAGTGCAGCTCTTCTCTCCACCCCCTCCAACTCTGCCCCCCTCCGTTCTCCTTCTCCCCTCCGACCCTCATCCCATCACCCTCTTTTCTCCTCCCTCTACCCGTCCCCCTCCCGAAGTCTTCCCTGCCTCCCTTCCCTCGCTCCTCCCTGCTTTGTTCCTCCCTCCCGCCCTTCCTGCCTTCCTGCCTTCCAGGGAGGGCGCCATCTATACACCCCCCGCCAGTCCTGGCCAGGCCCACGCTGGCCCCAGGATCGATGTATACGCCCTCCTGACTTGGCCAGGGAGGCATGTACATCGTATGCCACGATTGTGGGCCCTTGGTTGGCCTGGCCGAGATTCGTGTAGGTGTATGATTGGCGCCCTCCGGTCCTCATGCGAGATTACCTCCCATCCCACCCGCCCGGCCTTCCCGAGAGCACAGTAGAAGGCAGACACAACCACCCTCACACCTGCACTTCAGTTTTGTACGCCCGAAATGGGCACGGAAACAATGGGCACAATGCCCAACAGCAAATGTTGTCCCGAACAAACAGCGGCCGCTGTTGGGCAGGCGGCCTTCTGTCTCGAATGGACACAGGCCGCGGCGGCGTGGACAGCGAGCCCTGTTCAAAATGAGCAGGAACCGCTGTTGGGCATTGTACCCATTCTTTCCGTACCCATTTCGGGCGTCCAGATCAGTGCAGTGGAGGCCCGACCGCAAGAAACCTTCCGCAAGAAACCTAACTCTGAGACCTCAGGACGTCAATGGACTTTTGGCGTGGGAGCGTCGCGCTCTCTATCGCAGAACCCTCGAAACCCAAGAAACCCAGGGCACCCTGGAGGCTGGAGGCAAGCAGGGGCCCCACCGTACAGTAGAAGGCAGACACCGCCACCCTCACAGTCCGCATCCCTGCACTTCAATGAGTGCTCTCGAGACAGGACCCAGATCAGAGCAGGCCCGCCCCGCAGGCGCCCGCGCCGTGGGGCCCGGGGTGGTCCCGACGAAAGCTGCAGCAGTGGCTCCGTCCGCCCAGACCGACGAGCCACTGCGTCCTGCCCATCGTCGGCGCGACGTCGCGCGGGGCGACCAGGCGAGGGCAAACCTTCGATTCCATGTCACCGCATCCCCCAAATACTGCTGCAGCATTTTTCCCGCGGCCGCGGGGAACGGCGGCGGGCGCGCCCGGCGCGAATCCTGGGCAAGTGAAGCAGCAGTTTTGACTGCAGCAACTTGAATAGACACTTGACACACAATTCCTTCCAAGGCCAGGGGAGTGGAGGAGGAGGGGGAGGGGGAGGGGGAGAGGGGGGGGGGAGGGGAGGAGGAGGAGGAGGAGGAGGAGGCGGAGGAGGAGGAGGAGGAGGAGGAGGAGGAGGAGGAGGAGGAGGAGGAGGAGGAGGAGAAGGAGGAGGGAGGAGGAGGGGGAGGAGGGGAGGAAAGAGGACGAGAGAAGAGGAAGGAGGAGGGGAGGAGGAGGAGGAGGAGGGAGGAGGAGAGGAGGAGGAGGAGGAGGAGGAGGAGGAGGAGGAGGAGAGAGGAAGGAGGAGGAGGAGGAGGAGGAGGAGGAGGAGGAGAGGGGGAGGGGGAGGGGGGGGGGAGGGGGAGGGGGAGGAGGAGGAGGAGGAGGAGGAGGAGGGGAGGAGGGGAGGAGGAGGAGGAGGAGGAGGAGGAGGGGAGGAGGCGGAGGAGGAGAGGAGGAGGAGGAGGAGGAGGGGAGGAGGGAGGAGGGAGGAGGAGAAGGAGGAGGAGGTGGAGGAGGAGGAGGAGGAGGAGGAGGAGGAGGAGGAGGAGGAGGGAGGAGGAGGAGGGGGAGGGGGAGGGGAAGGGGGAGGAGGAGGAGGAGGAGGGGAGGAGGAGGGAGGAGGAGGAGGAGGAGGAGGGAGGAGGAGGAGGAGGAGGGGGAGGGGGAGGGGGAGGAGGAGGAGGAGCGAGGGGAGGAGGGGAGGCGGAGGAGGAGGAGGAGGAGGAGGAGGAGGGCGGAGGGGGAGGAGGAGGAGGGGGATTATGATGATGATGATGATGATGATGTGATGATGATGATGGATGTGATGATGATGATGATGTGAGGTGAGGAGGAGGAGGAGGAGGAGGAGGAGGAGGAGGAGGAGGAGGAGCAGGAGCAGGAGGAGGAGGAGGAGGAGGTATGAGTGAGGATGATGATGATGAGATGATGGGAGGCGGAGGAGGAGGAGGAGGAGGAGGAGGAGGAGGAGGAGGAGGAGGAGGAGGAGAGGAGCAGGAGCAGGAGCAGGAGGAGGAGGAGGATTCCGCATTAGATGCACAGCCTCCCCGGAGCTCCCCAGGGGCCTGGCGGAGGAGGAGGAGGAGGAGGAGGAGGAGGAGGAGGAAGAGGAGCAGGAGCAGGAGCAGGAGGAGGAGGAGGATTCCGCATTAGATGCACAGCCTCCCCGGAGCTCCCCAGGGGCCTGGCGTGTCCGACCCCCGACCCCCCCTCTTGGCAAGCCCCTCCGGGGCCGTTCCCCCCCTCTTCGAGGCGCCGAGTCCACTGCCAGACCAGCGGTGCCGTCCACGCCGCAACGCCTTGCCCTAGATTCGGGCATTCCTCGCTCCACAAACCAGCCTTCTGTCCGTGGATTCCGGCCCTCGCGCCACGGCGGGCAAGCACAAGGAGCAGCGGAACGTGGCGTCCGCCCGTCCTCTGGTTCTCCGTGAGGTGCTTCATCTCGTTGGGAACGATCCTCCACAACCAGAGCGGAAGGGGGGTGGTCAAGAGGGGGGAGAAAGAAGCACCGAGGGCATATCTGAGGGGCAACGATGCAATGAATCAACGCAGTCACTCGCCATCGCTCGGACGTCCATTTCCCGTACCTACATGTTTCGGCTTCGTGCGTGCATTTCTTCGCAAGATGGACCCCGATGATCTTCGATGGTCCTCGCCGAAAAAATGCACACGTCCGAGCGATGCCAAGGTAAACAATATGGGGCCACCAAGCGCTGCCCTGGGTGGGGGAACCGCATGCGGGCTGTGCCATTGGGACCTTCGGTGGAGCTCCCTATGGGGCCACGAAACGCTGCCGTCGGCAGGGGGAACCGCATGCGGGCTGTGCCACAGGGACCTTCGGTGGAGCTCCCTATACGAAACGCTGCCCTGGGTGGGGGAACCGCATGCGGGCTGTGCCACTGGGGCCTTCGGTGGAGCTCCCTATGGGGCCACGAAACGCTGCCCTGGGTGGGGGAACCGCATGCGGTCTGTGCCACTGGGACCTCCGGTGGAGCTCCCTATGGGGCTACAAAGCGTTGCCCTGGGTGGGGGAACCGCATGCGGGCTGTGCCATTGGGACCTTCGGTGGAGCTCCCTATGGGGCTACGAAGCGCTGCCCTGGGGTGGGGGAACCGCATGCGGGCTGTGCCACTGGGACCTTCGGTGGGGCTCCCTATGGGACCACGAAACCCTGCCCTGGGTGGGGGAGCCGCATGCGGTCTGTGCAACTGGGACCTTCGGTGGAGCTCCCTATGGGGCCGCGAAGCGCTGCCATGGGTGGGGGAACAGCATGCGGGCTGTGCCACTGGGACCTTCGGTGGAACTCCCTATGGGGCCACGAAGCGCTGCCCTGGGTGGGGGAACCGCATGCGGGCTGGGCCACTAGGACCTTCGGTGGGGCTCCCTATGGGGCCGCGAAGCGCTGCCATGGGTGGGGGAACCGCATGCGGGCTGTGCCACAGGGACCTTCGGTGGAGCTCCCTATGGGGCTACGAACCGCTGCCCTGGGTGGGGGAACCGCATGCGGGCTTTGCCACTGGGACCTTCGGTGGAGCTCCCTATGGGGCCACGAAGCGCTGCCGTCGGTAGGGGGAACCGCATGCGGGCTGTGCCACTGGGGCCTTCGGTGGAGCTCCCTATGAGGCTACGAAGCGCTGCCCTGGGTGGGTGAAACGCAAGGGAGAAGGGGAGGAGGGAGGAGTGGGAGGAGGAGGAAGAGGAGGAAGGAGGAAGGAGGAAGGAGGAAGGAGGATGCAGGAGGAGGAAGGTGGGACGCGGGGCGCTGTCTCTTCAAAACGAGGACCCAACACCACAGGATGGTTGGGAAAATTAGCCTGGCGAAAAACCCAACCATATGCAGTTGTGGGTATCGCATTCGGGGGAGCCCCGTATGGGGCCACGAAGCGCTGTACTGGGTGGGGGGGGGACGCGTGCGAACTGCGCCACTGGGACCTTCGGTGGAGCTCCCTATGGGGCCACGAAGCGCTGTACTGGGTGGGGGGGGCGCATGCCACTGGGACCTTCGGTGGAGTTCCCTATGGTGCCACGAAACGCTGCCCTGGGTGGGGAGACGTATGCGAGCTGCGCCACTGGGACCTTCGGGGGAACTGCCTATGGGGCCACGAAGCGCTGCCCTGGGTGGGGGAACCGCATGCGGGCTGTGCCACTGGGTCCTTCGGTGAAGCTCCCTATGGGGCCACGAAGCGCTACCCTGGGTGGGGGAACAGCATGCGGGCTGTGCCACTGGGACCTTCGGTGGGGCTCCCTATGGGGCCACGAAGCGCTGCCCTGGGTGGGGGAACCGCATGCGGGCTGAGCCATTGGGACCTTCGGTGGAGCTCCCTATGGGGCCACGAAACGGTGCCGTCGGTAGGGGGAACCGCATGCGGGCTGTGCCACTGGGTCCTTCGGTGGAGCTCCCTATACGAAACGCTGCCCTGGGTGGGGGAACCGCATGCGGGCTGTGCCACTGGGGCCTCCGGTGGGGCTCCCTATGGGGCCACGAAGCGCTGCCCTGGGTGGAGGGGGCGCATGCGAACTCTGCCACTGTGACCTTCGGTGGAACCCCCTACGGGGCTACGAAGCGCTGCCCTTGGTGGGGAAACCGCATGCGGGCTGTGCCACTGGGACCTTCTGTGGAGCTCCCTATGGGGCCACGAATCGCTGCCATGGGTGGGGAAACCGCATGCGGGCTGTGCCACTGGGATCTTCGGTGGAGCTCTCTATGGGGCCACGAAACGCTGCCCTGGGTGGGGGGACCGCGTGCGGGCTGTGCCACTGGGACCTTCGGTGGAGCTCCCTATGGGGCTACGAAGCGCTGCCCTGGGTGGGGGAACCGCATGCGGGCTGTGCCACTGGGGCCTTCGGTGGAGCTCCCTATGGGGCCACGAAACGCTGCCATGGGTGGGGGAAGGCATGCGGGCTGTGCCACTGGGACTTTCGGTGGAGCTCCCTATGGGGCCACGAAGCGCTGCCCTGGGTGGGGGAACCGCATGCGGGCTGTGCCACTGGGACCTTCGGTGGAGCTCCCTATGGGGCCACGAAGCGCTGCCCTGGGTGGGGGAACCGCATGCGGGCTGTGCCACTGGGACCTTCGGTGGAGCTCCCTATGGGGCCACGAAACGCTGCCCTGGGTGGGGGAACCGCATGCGAACTGTGCCACTGGGACCTTCGGTGGAGCTCCCTATGGGGCTACGAAGCGCTGCCCTGGGTGGGGGAACCGCATGCGAACACCCCCACTGGGGCCTTCGGTGGAGCTCCCTATGGGGCTACGAAACGCTGCCCTGGGTGGGGGAACCGCATGCGAACACCCCCACTGGGGCCTTCGGTGGAGCTCCCTATGGGGCCACGAAACGCTGCCCTGGGTGGGGGAACCGCATGCGAACACCCCCACTGGGGCCTTCGGTGGAGCTCCCTATGGGGCTACGAAACGCTGCCCTGGGTGGGGGAACCGCATGCGAACACCCCCACTGGGGCCTTCGGTGGAGCTCCCTATGGGGCCACGAAACGCTGCCCTGGGTGGGGGAACCGCATGCGGGCACCCCCACTGGGGCCTTCGGTGGAGCTCCCTATGGGGCTACGAAACGCTGCCCTGGGTGGGGGAACCGCATGCGGGCTGTGCCACTGGGTTCGGTGGAGTGATGGGCTACGAGACGCCGCCCTGGGTGGGTGAAACGCAGGGGAGAGGGGGAGGAGGGAGGAGTGGGAGGAGGAGGGGGAGGAGGAGGAGGAAGGAGGAAGGAGGAAGGAGGAGGAAGGAGGAGGAAGGTGGGACGCGGGGCGCTGTCTCTTCAAAACGAGGACCCCAACACCACAGGATGGTGGGAAAAACTCCTTCTCTCCCTTCCTCCCTCCCTCCCTCCTCCTCCCTCCTCCTTCCCTCCTCCTCCCTCCTCCCTCCTCCTCCTCCTCCTCCTCCTCCTCCTCCTCCTCCTTTCCTCCTCTCTCCTCCTCTCTCCTCTCTCCTCTCTCTCCTCTCTCCTCTCTCTCCTCTCCTCCTCCTCCTCCTCCTTCTCCTCCTCCTCCCCTCGGTCCTGGGGCCCGAGACCGAGCGACAGCGCTGGTTGTGGAACAAGTGTGACGATCATGACGACGACGCCAACGACGATGACGCGCCTCGCGCTTCGTGCCGCGCCGGTTGCGGAGCGCGGCCGCCTTCGCGCCGTGGCGCGGGCCACCCCAGAGGAAGGGGGCAGCTCTCTTGCCCGGGCCGCGGAGCGCGAGGCACACCTGTCCGCGGGTGGCCCAAGGCTTGGGGGGGGGGAAAGGCAAGGCTGAACCTAAACGGTGTTTTTCGTGGTCGTTTTGTTCTCGCTTTCCCTCGTTTTGTCTTCAGTCCGCCTTTCACGCAAAACGAAGTCGAAACGAGAACGGCCCACGAAATCGCCAAAACACCGTTCAGGTCCACCCCTGGCGGAAGGAGGGTAGGGAGGGATTTTTCCTCTGCGGGGCCATGTATCTCTGAGGATCCGGGATCCGGGAGCCGCATCGAGGGGATGCTGCTCCGGGGGGCAGGGGTGGAGAAGCGAGGCGGGAACAAGGAGGGACGGGAGTTGGAGGGGGCGAGGGATGAAGGGAGGGGAATGGAAGGGAAGGGTAGGGAGAAGAGGGGAGTGGAGGGATGAAGGAGCGAGGCGGGAGCAGAGAGGAGGCAGGAAGGTGCGGGGGGGGCGGGATGAGAGGGAGGGGAGAGAGGGGACAAGAGGAGGAAGGACGGGAGGGACGCAGGATGGGAGGGAGGGAATGGCAGTGGAGAAAGATGGGAGAGGGAAGCACCAATAACCGTTGAACTGTGGAAGAACAGTCAAGATGCCGCATCAAAAGGACCAGAGTGCATGGGCTCGCCCTCCCCCTCCTCACCCTCCTCTCCCCCCACTGGGAGGGAGAGGAGAGGGAGGGGATGGAGAGCAGGGGGGGGGAGAGAAGGAAGGGAGGGGGGAGGGGAGAGGAGTCCCCCTCCCCTTTCCCCCTCCCGCTCACCTTCACAATTACTCAATATGAATACTACTCTCCTCCTTCCCCTGATGACGGGTTGGGAGTGTTCGCCCCCCCCCTCGCGTACTGTTTTTTACACACAGGATTCCCCGGAGTTGGGTTTCCGCTGGCATTTTTTCCAAAATGCTGCTCTCGCTGAGGCGCCGGCCTCATTTTCGGGCCCCGCTCGTTCCGAATCGTGCTCCCGCTGCAGCGCTGGCCTCATTTCCGTGCTTCCGCTCGTTCCGAATCGTGCTCCCGCTGCAGCGCTGGCCTCATTTCCGCGCTCCCGCTCGTTCCGAATCGTGCTCCCGCTGCAGCGCTGGCGTCATTTCCCGTGCCATGCCACGGCATGCAATGCAATGCTAGGTTGCGTTCCGCTGCGCGATGCCAGCTGTGATTTGCAATGCTTAAGTGCCACGTCGTGCTATGCCATGCTACGCTTTGATCTTCAACGCCAGGCTATGCAATGTTATGTTCGGGGCCGCTGTGCGATGCCATGCTTTGCGTTGCAAAGCTTTGTGATGCAATTCTTCACTACGCCACGCCACGCCATGCTGTGACATACTACGCTTTGCGGTGCTCTTTTACGCCATGCCATGCCGTGCTCTACAATGCATCGCGTACCCTTTCGGGATCATTGCCCTGCTCGACATCCGACTGTGCGAGTAGAGAGGGGATCTACGCCATGGTAAGGGATGGGAGGGAGGGGTAGGATGTCAGGTATGACGCGAGCGCACCTAGCTTGCCCTTCCCCCTCCCCCTCCCCTCCCCCGTCCCCTTCCTCTTCCCCCTCGCCGTCCCCGTCCCCGTCCCCTTCCCGTCCCCCTCAGCCTCCTCCATCCTGTTGCCTTGTCGATGGCTCCTACTTGTCGCGCCCCGAGACGTGTCGATAGGGCGGGCGGGACGTCTCGCCCGAGAGGCGCCCTCGCCACTTACGATGCCACTCGCAACTCGCAAGAGCGTCATGGACGGAGGGCGGGCCATTTCCAAAATGCGGCTCTCGCCGTAGCGCCGCGCAAACTCGTCTCTCAAACTGCGAGGGTTTCGAGACGTGGCTCGCGCCAGAGCGCCGCGCAGCTTCGTCTTCACGTCTGCGAGGGTTTCACGGATGGAGGGAGGGCCGTTTTCAGAATGTGGCTCTCGCCAACGCCGCGCACATCCGTCTTTAACGAGTGGAGGGCGGTTCCTTTTCAAAATGTGGCTCTGGCCGTAGCGCCGCGCGTAGTTGTCCAACACCTGTGACTGTTTAAATGCTCTTATGGCTGACGTCCCAAGACTGGTGTTTTGGTATGATTTAGGATTGTCAGTCCGCCGCAGTCACGTCGATTCGTGGTGCTGAAGGTCCATGAATGGCGTTCTGGTGCGATTCGGGATCGTCAGGACGCAACGGTAACGTGGATTCGCGGCGTAGATGTCCCAGGAATGATGTTTTGGCACGGTTGACAAATTATAGACGGTCGTCTTCCAAGAGCGCACTTCCCGCAGTGCAGATATTTCCTTCTAGGGACCTGTGAAGAGGGAACTTGGAGGGAGGCTTTGACGCGTCTTGGGTTTACACTGATCATCCTCCTCCTCCTACTATTCCTCCTGCTCTTCCCCCTCCTCCTACTCTTCCTCCTCCTCCTCCTCCTCCTCCTCCTCCTCCTCCCTCCTCCTCCTCCTCCTCCTCCTCCTTCTCCCTACTCTCGCCCTCTCGTAGCGCGGCGGGCGACGACGCGCACGCCCTTGAGGCAGCACGCAGAAGGGCGCCGGACGGAGGTGCAATGCGAGGGACACGCAGTAGCCGTTCAAGAATCCGAACGCCATGACGACGGAGAAGGACACGGCGTCGCCTGTAACGAACTTGGGGGTCCCAACGCGGTGCGGCGACGGACCGTGCGATGCCCTCGAAATCCCCGCAGACCGCACCGCATGATCCGTCACTAAACGGTTTTGGGACCTCGGAAGCCCCAATCGTCCGAAACGTTCTCGAAGAACGACCCAAATCCCCAAACCGTGCGGTCACCCCGAATCCCAACTGACTCACCACACGGTACGGTGACCAGGGGTTAGGTCGGGCGTGTCCCCCTACAGGCGGGTTTTGGACGAAAAATACAACATACTCCAAACATGCTCAGACAAATAACCAACAATAGCCAAAACATCGTCCACCGACTATCTTTGAAACTATTTTCGAATTTTCTTCCTGTAGAGGGACAGGCCCGAGTTAAACCAGGAGCCACCGACGAACGAACGAACGATGCGCGGAGCGTCCCTGGGAAAGGGACTGGTTGGCTCGCGGCCTGTGCGAGGCGACCGTGGCCGCCCACCGGAACAGCCTCGGAGTTCCTTCGCGATGGTATCCAGAGGTGCTGCCCAGAGGCTTCTCAGCGGCGTCGCCTGGAGTAGAGGAACGAACACTTTTGGAGGTCCGCGCAGTTTTCTTGGATCGGCGTGGCCCCCCCCCTGGCGGGGTCTCTGGCGCCGCCCCTGGCGCGCCAGGGAGAAGGTCCAGCGCTGATCCAAGAGATCCGCACAGACCTCCGAAACTCTGAATATATATATATATATATCATATCTGTCGGCTGTCTGCATGTATGTATTTATGTATGTGTGTGTTTGCATGTAGATGTGCGAATGTATGTGTACGTGTATGATTGTGTATGCATATGCGTATCCGTGTATGTATATGTGTTCTGTAAATGTATATGTGTATGCATATGCTTATACTAACATGTATACACATGTGTGAGTATGTCTATAGCTATGCATGTTTACATGTATATGTATGTCTGTACACATATATATATAAGACATATGATACTTGTCTTCTTCGCTAGAGAGATCACGAAGCAAACATCCGAGCCTTCCGCCTCGAGAGGCCCCCAGGAGGCCCCACGAGGCGTCCTGGAGGCTCCAAGAGGCCCCCAAGAGGCCGCCTAGATGCCCCCAAGAGGCCCCCGCACAGCCCATCCCAGCGAACATCCAATAGGCTTCATCCCCACAACCCAAGCACGGTGGCGGGATGGACCGAAGGCCATTCGATCCGCCGCCCCCTGTCGATTCATCGCAGGGGTGCCTGGCGTGCTAAACCCTCTCGGTTTTGGTTTTGTTTTTTTTCCCAAAGAGCTCCCCCCTGGGGCTTCGGCCCGTCCCGCCGGCCACCCGGAAATGACCCCAATTGCGGATTTGTTCCTCCAAGACGGCTCAAGATGGCGCCAAGATGGCCACGTTGGCCCAAGATGGCCTCCAAGTTCGCCCAATATGGTCTAAGACGGCCCAAGAGAGTCCAAGACGGCCCAAGAGGCCCCCCAGAGGCCTCCAAGACTGCCTCAGAGGCCTCAGGTCCTCCAGGAGAGCCGGACGAGGCCAAAATCGTTGATATTCCTTTTGTTTTTGAAAGATTTTGGCGGTCGCTTCTTCTCGGCTTTCCGACGACCCAAGGCGGCCCAAGAGGCCCCCAAGATCGCCCCCACAGCGCCCAAAAGGCTTCCAACATGGCCTCAGGACTGCCCAATATACCCCCAAGACGGCCCGAAGAGGGCACAAAGACGACCCAAGAGGCCTCCAAGACGCCCAAGATGGCCTCTAAGACGGCCCTGGAGCACACCAAGAGGGCCCCAAGTCGGCCCAGAAAGGCCCCCCAAACGGCTTCCGACGGCGTCAGACGGGTCGGGAGCCCACCAAGATGACCGACGTTGGCTCGGAGCTGGCCCAAGACGGCCTCCAAGAGGGCCTCCAAGAAGGCCAGAAAAGGCCCCAAACATTGATTTTCCATGATTCGTTTCGGCCTTGTTTCGTTTCGGCCTTCCGACGGCCCGATACGGCCCAAGAGCCCCCCAAAATCGCCCAAAGATCGCCCAAGAGGCCTCCAAGATGGCCCCAGAACGGTCTAAGAGGTCCCCAAGACGGCCCAACGAGGCCCCCAAGACGGCCCAGGAGGCTTTTAAGATGCCCAAGATGGCCTCCAAGATGGCCCTGGAGCATTCCAAGAGGGCCCCAAGTCGGCTCAGAGAGGGGCCTTGGGGGGTTTCCGAAGGCGTCGGACGGGCCAGGGGCCCACCAAGACGGCCGAAGATGGCACTAAGATGGCCCACGACGGCCCAGGAGGCCTCCAAGAGGGCCTCCAGGAAGGCTCGACAAGGCATTGATTTCCCATGAGTTTTTGGAGGATCGTGGCATTTGCTTTTTTTCGGCCTTCCGACGGCCCGAGACGGCCCAAGTGCCCCCAAAGATCGCCCAAGAGGCCCAAGACGGCCCCAAGAGGCCCCCAAGACGGCCCAAGATGCCTCCACGACGCTCAAGATGGCCTCCAAGACGGCCCAAGAGCCCTCCAAGACGTCCTCCAAGAAGGCCCGAAGGGCCCGAAGGGGTCAAACTGGCCTCCAGGCGGCCAAGATGACCTTCAAGATGCCCATGCGTTTCCCGAAGGCTTTCCAAACCGATTCGGGGCACACATGGTCTGATAGCTTGGCAAGACTGGCCTCAACGTTCGGCCACATAGGCGCTTCCAAAAAGGCAGGGGGCGGCGGCCGATAGTTAGTTGCCTTCTTCGCTAGCAGTCGAAACTGTTTTTTGAGATCCGAAGGAGCTTCCCAAGTAGGACTCCGCGTGAAGCCCCTGGGAGTCTTCCTGGCGGACCAGAGGGCTCAGAGACCCTCTCAAGCAGGGCTGAACCTAAACGGTGTTTTCGTTTTCGTTTTGGTATCGTTTTCCCTCGTGTTGTCTTCGAGTCGCCTTTACCGCAAAACGAAATCGAAACGAAAACGCCCCACGAAATCGCCAAAACACTGTTTAGGTCCAGCCCTGGTCTCCAAATGCAACACAAGCTCGGGGCCAGGGAGGACGGAAACGGGGGCAGGATGCGAGCGCGGCGGCCGATCGCGAACGAGCACTCCAGAACGCTCACGGCTCTGGAATGAACTCTTCGCACCCTGGGTCACCAAGCTTGGCGCCTCGCGCCGCGCGAGAAACGACCACCACCCCCTGGGGAAAAAAACCGGCTCTCCGGCCCAGGCCTCGAGGCGCGTAGCGCGGCCATTTTCGCGCCCCTGCGGGTGAGCTAGGTGCGCATCCTGAGGCTGCCAGGCAGCCTGGAAGGAACTCCTCCTCGGAACACACAAAGGACGTACGCGCCCAGACCCATGCATGGATATGCCACCCCCCGCGTCACGAGCGCTCGCGTAATGCGCTCTCTCAACCGCCGCGTGAACTCATGTGCGCGTACGTCTTTATGCCGTTCCTGGCTTCCACACCATCCTACTACAATCCCTCCCCTCCGTCTCTCCAGCACTCGCCTCAGGCACCTGTGGAAACGCATCGGAACTCTCGCCGAGAGGAGGAGGGAGGAAAGAGGGAGTACATGAGGAGGCAGGGACGAGTCGGGAGGAGAGAAGGATGAGGAGATGAGCAGCGGGGACGAGCGAGGAGCGAGGCGGGAGTAGGGAACGTGGAGGGAGGCGGAGGCAGGACGACGAGGACGAGGTGCCGCACGACTTCTGCGCCAGTGGGCAAGAAGCTTGGTGAAACGACGCAATGGATCTCGGCCACGGCGCCCGCGGCGCCCCGTGCGTGTGAAAACGCCAGGCGGTGCCAGGGTGCTGCGAGATGTGTGTCGAAGGGCTGGCTCCACTCTCGGTCATGCCGGCCCCCGGTAATCGACCCTCCCCCAGCCCCCCCTCGCCCCCATAGGATTCTTTGTTTGCATGTGTTCTTGCATTCTGTGCCTACCCCCTGGCGCGCCGCGGTATCTCTGCCGTTCGTGGTGTCCCACTGCGCCCGCCCGCCAGCTCCAGCTGCTGGCAGCCGCCCTCCCGCCACCCTTGCCACCGTGGTTTGCCACGGCCGCCCACCGCGCCCTGGCCCTGCGCGCCTGGCTGCTGCTACCCCCCCCGGCTGCTCATCGTCGAACTCTTCGACGTCTGAGCGCCCCTCTCCCCCTCGGCCGTCCCCCCCCCTCTTTGCCCGCCGGCCAGTCCGCTAGCCAGTGCCCCTTTCTAGCTTCTCGCTGGAGCGGGGCTCGCCGCCTCGCCGCTGATGTGCTCCTGCACTCTTATGCGCGCATGCATGCTGCTACTCGGCGGCGCAAACAGCCGCCACCGGGCCCGCCCGCCTCTCCGTTGCAGTCGGACTTGATTGGAGAGGGCACGCGATAGGACACAGGACCCTTCTGAGGGCCACGTTGCCGCAGCACTGCAGGCGGCATGGGTCGCAAGACACAGGACACGAACCTACCCTCGATTTGGCAGGGTCGACGTACTAATCCGGGCCGCCTGTAGTGATGTCGCGCTCGGCGACGGCGGGTTTTACCAGTTTGGAACATATCCCTATCCCTATGTTTGACATCACCTCACCTCGATGTCGATCTTAAGGATTCCCTCAGTTTCTGAGGGCCCATCCCTCAGATTGTCCTCGCTTTTTGCTCGCCCATCTTAGGGATAGGGGTAAGTTCGAGGCTGGTTAGGGTTAGGACTCCTAGCGTGCCAGCCCAGCTCTTCTGGAGCACTCCTGGGGCCGGGCGGGCGCGCAGCGCTGCGTCACGAGGCGCCCCTCCCCTCCCCTCCCCTCCCCTCCCCTCCTCCCCTCCCCTCCCTCCCCTCCCCTTCCTTTTCGTCCCCTCCCCTCCTCTCCTGGTGACGCCCGTTACGCCGGGAAGATGCGCTATCGGTTTCCAGCGCGGTGGTGGATGCATGCGGCGGCGCGACCAAACAATTCTGGGTTGCGGGGCTGCGGGGAGCCTCCTGGGGGAGGTGTTCGCCGTAGAGCGGAAGAGAACCGTCGAATGGCTGTCAGGATCGCCGCTCGAGGTAGACAAACTTCACCCTCTCTTGCTTCAGTTTGCTCCCCCTTGTCT